TGAAAGAACGCTTAACTGACTGCGTATCAGCTTTACCTCACAAGAAAGTGGACCCGGCGGAATTTTATAAACACATCGCTGCGGACGGTTTAGTGGAGCCCAGGCGGATGAGGCAGCTTTTGATATGGTGCGGGACACGAGCAATGGGGGATAAGCCATCGGGCTCCCGTTCAGGGGATGAGAGCGCTCGTTTAGCAGGTATCGTTAGAACTATGCGGGTTTGCGGTTGAATTACTGACGGAGTTTAGCGCGAGTGATCCAAGAAGAACTACTCAAGGAATTTGGGAGCAATTCAGAGCTTTCCAATTGGTTTTCGCGAGAGGATACAACACCCCCGACAGTTGTCGTGAAGAAGGCAAACCCGAAGAACCTACAAAATCAGGAGAAGATCAGGGAGTTGGAAGAGCAAATACAAAAGTGAGTTATTTTGTGCTAGGCTGTATTACGGACGATACTAACAGGTTTCCAGGCTGCAAAAGGAGAGGCATTCTCTCAACGCGTTACTCCGACCTCCCTCAATTCCAAGGGTCGAGCCCGCACAAAAACAGATGCCGAATCGTCATGCAGAGACTCCTTCGTCCGAACCGGAGAAGACAACCCACTCGGCCACCGCGAACATCGATCTATCAGTATTAGACCCCTCCCAACAGCACATCCTAGCGTCTATAGACCCAGACGCAGCAAAGCGATACCAAGACACACAACCCCAAGCCGAGCAAACACCCGAAACCACAAACCTCCCTCCAGTAACACCATCAAGCATATCCACACGTCTGTCCCGATTAACGAGCCGGCTAGCACCAACACTCGACTCCTTCGCAGCGGGGGTTCACGACATCGAACTCTACCGCGCCATGTCAGATACTGTTTCGTCACAGACATTACAAATCTGCGCGGAGCGACTCGAGGAGCGAGATACACGGAACGCCCTTCGACGACTTGCCATTGCGGGAGCAGAAGGGGAGAGCGAACAAAAAGACGTCGCTCTCCGACCAAGACCAAAGGAAGACCTAGGCCCAATTCTGGGGGCTTTGAGTCGGGTGGAGAGGCGGTGACCTTCTCTCCTACACGACCGTTCATTTTCGATTTTATACACCTTGTTTTTGTTTTAGTTTACCGGTCTCACCCACAGCGTGACCGGGAGTTTGGGTTGGTTTGGTTTGGTTCAATCATCTTCTGTTCTGTTCTAGGCATACGCGAGCAAAGCAATGGAGTTGGGGAGTTGTACTGCCCTGTTATGTATGATGAGGTAGGAACCGGATTGGATTGGATTTGATTGTATGGGATGATACTGATAGTTAGCTGAGCTAATGGACCTTATACAAGCACTTTTACTTCTTGGCGGGGTTTGCACAGTGTATGCCCTGAAATATATGCATATACCTAGAAGTGTAACATCTAACTAGGAGATTGTTAGGGCTGTGGAGCTCGGCACAGCACAGGCTATACGAATTCTGAATGGACTATATATTAGAGTATAAGCTCTTAGGCGAGAGGCGAAGAAAACCTCGAATGTCAGCGTGACGTACTGTAGCACAGTGGGCCTAAAGTTCAGGTGGTGTACTAAGTAGGTTGGTAAGCCCATAAGGCTACTGAGCCAGATTCAAATTGTGGATACTGGATTCTAAGAGCTGAGATAGCGAACTGCTCTAGTTTTTAGGGCTGGGTAGGTCTTGATAACATCATAAACTCGGACTTGCTGGAGTATCGGCGCATGGTCACATACTGAGTGAACTGGTGGTATCTACCAAATCTGTCGGACCCAAGTCCCGCTTATCATTGTGGATGTAGACCTGCAAGTCCAGGCTAAGGAAGCAAGGGGAGAAAGACAAGACACCTGACAGTTATCCAAACAAGTTTTTTTTATTTATTAGTCACTTTCACATAGTGTAAGTGGGGGTTTTCCTGACAATGGCAGTGACCAAGTCATCTGAATATACCGCAGTCGAGTTGGGAAGGAGCGACTGAGGTGACTGCCTACCACTTTTTTTCTTCAACCTGAACTCTCTAAACCATGAAAACTCCCAGGTCTATTGACCACATCCCCATCCTGTTGCCAAAGCAGCTATATCATGAAATAACTACTAGTCTAAGATTCACTATCTACGAATTACGATCCAGCTGGTCGTCTCATGGGACCTACGGAGCAGAGGCTCCCCGATTTGAGGATATCGACCTACGATGGACACGCGGTAGATCACTCGGCTCCTTTCTCCCCGGTGCCAAGTTCCAGTTTCTAACATTCTGTAGTTGAAAGCTCTCACCGGAAATCCCAGGAAGAAATAATCCGAGCGTCCCGATTATGAGCCTCGTGAAAATCGACAATCTCTGCTGCATCCCTGAAAGAGAACGGAGTCTAGTCAAGTAAGCTCGAATAAGCTCGGATCCACCAGGAACTCCGGCTCATTATCAGGAAGAATATTTTCCGAAGGTCAGCCAGAATCCTTGGTAGGCATCGAGTCAATAAGAATCCAGATGTTGCCGACCAGTCCACGCAGCCTGGCGCGGTACTTGGCGAATACTTTGGTACCCACTCATACAGCAGCTGGACGGGAGCATACTTGGTCCCTTTTACCTCTCATGCTGGTCTCCCCTCTTTGCCCCCTCTCTTGTAGCACTCCAGCAGCACCTATGGCAGAAGCCATACACCCGGCGGGTCGGCATGGATTGGTTCCGCGGTTAGATAGGTAGGACAGGCAAATGATAGCGGATTCCCAAAGTCTCGCAGTCTCGCCATGTCCACCGTTGACAGTGGTTGCCCGCTCAGGCTTATTAAAGACTGGTCCCTGCGTCTCGGCGGAGTGTGGGACGGGCATCCTCGGCCAAGGGCGCTGCAGCAGGCATGATTGGAGGCGTGAGCTGAGCGGGATCCGTGATTGGGGTGGTACAGTTTGAGGAGGGAAGGGGTGGAAGGGAGTGATAGTGAATAGCCGTTGAGGTTGGTGTGATTAACTCGTTGAGGTGTTGCCGTGATGCTGTATAATTGCCCCGGATAAGGGGGGGGGATTTGTGTCACATCGGCAGCTTCGCAATTTTGTTTTTTTTTTTTGTTTTTGTTTTGTTTTTGTTTTTGTTTTTGTGGTCACTGCCATACAAGATCTTGACATCATATCCAGGAATTTCTGGGCACTTCTGGACAATGGTTAGTATGATGTAAGTTTCAGTCCTTTGTCCTGAACAGGGTTGATACTCGGGCATAGGTACTCCTATCTCTGATGGAACCGATGTAATGGTGGGTCAACTCCCTGTCTATCACGTCAATCACTCAACTACTCAACCACTCAACCACGTCAATCATGGACCTCTCTCGGTCTTCTAGATCCGCCCAATTCAAGCCATGTCCGACCGACGACTGTGCTGGAAATTGATCTAAAACCCCTAGGGCTGTTGGTTTCTGACCCAGCTGTCGTGTAGGTTGTTTGGAAGGGAGCATGAGACACAGCAAAGTATATATCGATCCTGGGGACATTTAACGGCCAAACGTTGCAGGCTTTTAGCGAGAGGCACCAACCAACCCTTATAGCCAAAGGAGGCTACCATTTATTTCCGACCATCAAGGGCGTGGTGCGCAGCAGGAATTGGACTCGTAAGCCCGCACGCAGCGCTTCCTACTGGAAGCAGTAGTGTGCCTCTACGTACTTTTGCCCAGTGGTTCTTCATATCAGTTCCACCCTCGTGCGAGCCGTTCTAGACTACTGCGAACTCCTCTATTGACTGTCCAAGATCCACTTCGGTTTGCCGCTGAAAGACTGAACATGTTCTCTAGTCTTGCCGGTGCCACCGCGTCCAAGGCCCGTGGAACCAGTTTGGATCTCTTTGCTTTAGCTCACAGCCCGTGATCATTCTTTCACGTTTATTATTCCTATTTTCTGAACGGCCAAGGGGATTTCGACTTGCCATCTTGCATTATGGAGCCAGAGCTCGCTGGTCTAGAAAGGCCTGGACAATCGCTTTCGATGCAGGCTCTGGGGCTCCTGATTCATTATTCTTCGCAGTCTGGACCATGATTGCTAATTGCCCTTTCTCCTGTCTCTGGTCTTGGTCTTCTGGTTTCCTCTCAGCTTCACTCTCTGGTTCTGGTGACTTATGTGGCAAGCTCTCTGCCTGGTCTGATACAAAACATCTCGTCTTGCTCCACCCCCCGTCAGAGACTGCCTTTTGAGTCTCAGATTTCCCAAGAACAGAAGCAGGGCCTGCTGCAGATTCACATATATTCATCATCGGTCCGCCGAGGCAAAGTGTTGCTACACAAGATCGCGCACCTTCGTGTTTTCATATGATCAGCTTCGATCCTGTCATTGGACTCGCTGCTGTCTCTTTCGGGAACCGTTTAATCGCGGACTCGGCGTCTTTTGTTTATCATAAGCCCACTAAGGTCTAATCCGTGCCTGCTCCTCCAGTTGCGGTCGAACCCTCGGCGGCGTCCAAAGCTGCCATCGCCTCCGCTTTCGGCATCAACCTCAAGAGACAGGGTCTAAATTCTGATGCTTGTTTCCCCTCCACCTCTGGGCATCTTTTAATTCCTCTCTACTTGGATCCTTCACTACATTCTATCGTGGACGGTCTATCCTTTTTATATCCTGCTTCCTTGCCACCACTGGAGTCTGGACTATGTATCAGTGACGTATCTCCATTCCTTGAAGCGGGCCCTTTACCCCTTCCAACCCACCTGTCTGACTTTCCGACGCTCTCCTCCATTGTTATTGAGTCGGAGAGATTAAGGTATACCGTTCGTGCCTCCATCGCCGTTGATTTATCATCTTTTGGCGCATATCTCCAGGTTCGTGGAAACTTAGTTGTGACTCTGACATGCTCTCGCCCCAAACCGCCCTGATCTGATCTAGCTGTCTAATTGATTTGCTATTCAGATTCGATCAAGAGCTACAAACACCACGGGGGTTAAAATAGAAATAGAAAACAAAAGTAGGAACACGAGGTGACACAGGCCTCAGCTTCCCGTTCTGAAGAGGACGCTACGTCAGTCTGGAAGGGAAGAAACAATGGCCGGCGGTTATTTTGATCTTCCTATATCTTCGTCTTCCCGCCGCTCGAGCCTTACTGATGTATCTGGAGAAGGGCGATCTCCTGGGCCGCGCGTATCTCCTCTGGAGACTTCCAATGAGGGCTCACCGGAAAGGTCGGTACAAGACCCCAGCGAAGCTCAGGGCAAGCAGCGGAATGCAGGCATTCTGAAAAGCGCCAACCGGGTCAAGTTCACAGTTAGCGAGGCGGGAATGGGCTTGAGCCCGGTCCCATCCCCCACACCACAGCAGCGAGTGGATGGAAGGGGCGCGACTCTGCCGCAGAAACCTGTGCCTGCTGCTGGCATTCCGTCTGCTGAGCGAGGAGCACCCGGTCCCCACTCGTTTCCATTTTGGGATATCAGCTCCAGCTTTCCTGCTGGCAGCCCAGCTCACTCCAGGGATAGCTCCCCTGGAATTGCTGCATCTGATGAAGTCAGTCATGAGAAGGGCAGAGCTATCCACTCGGCGTTCTCTGCGCAGGAGCGAGCCCAGAAATTGGCCTCTCATTTGGGGCGTCCCACTAAGTCCCCCAATCTGAGTCCGTGGCCAAGTCTGCCGTCATCTGTTGCATCAACTCCCACCGAGGCGTCACAGCCCGTCGAGGACCGTGATGATATTCCTATGATTCGACTATCTGAGAAACAATTCGACTTCTTCCCCGACGAAGACGATGACCACTACGGCTTGGTAGATGGACAACCACAAAATCGCTCCTCCGAAGCTCACCAGCTTGTCCAACAGATGGCTCGCAGAGACTTTAACATGTTGAACCGTATTCGTGCTCATTCCCCCGTCCTACGTTCTGGCCAAGTCACTCCTATTGAGGAGCGGGACCCCGACACTTACGTCCAGCGCCCTACCCACTACCGTGGGGGGATACTCTCCTCTCTCCTGAAGCTCTACGAGCAACCGATACCAAACACCTCCCGCGGCCGGTATGGCCACTCTCGTCAGAGTAGTTCTGGCGATATGAGCGGCCGCGGCATTTCCCCGGACCCATCCTGGCGTTTCCCCCAGAAGCCCAGGAAGTGGTATGAAAAGTCTCCGAACCAGTCCAACACGTCCCTGTCTGGCTCTACGGCAAAGAACTCGATTGGATCGCCGTTGGGGATGCTCAAACGCTCACGTAGTAGCGGGGCCATCTCTGGGATGCCTAAACGGATGGGGAAACCTGGGCTGGAGGAAGAGATCCGCATTACCGTCCATATTGCCGAGCTACTCTCACGCCAACGATACCTTATCATCCTTTGCAAAGCCCTGATGAAATTCGGCGCCCCTACCCACCGGTTGGAGGAATATATGAAAATGACAGCTCGTGTACTGGAGATAAATGCCAACTTCTTGTACCTACCAGGCTGTATGATCATCTCTTTTGACGACGTCTCGACCCACACAACAGAGGTCAAGCTTGTTCGCGTGAACCAAGGGGTTGACCTAGGGAAACTATCTGACGCACATGCTATCTACAAAGAAGTTATACATGACGTGATTGGGGTTGAGGAGGCTATGCAACGGCTGGGTAAGCTGGTGCAAAAGGACGACAAGTACCCAATCTGGCTCCTCATTCTTTTCCACGGCCTAGCCAGTGCGTCCGTTGGACCGTTCGCATTCGGGGCTCGGCCGATTGATATGCCTATTGCTTTTCTTCTTGGGTGTCTCTTGGGCGTTCTACAGCTTGTCTTGTCTCCTCGCTCACACCTCTACTCCAACGTCTTTGAGATATCTGCTGCTGTCTTGACATCATTCCTAGCTCGGGCATTTGGTAGCATCCCCTACAAAGATGGCTATCTATTCTGCTTCTCAGCCCTGGCTCAATCTTCTATTGCGCTGATCCTTCCCGGCTACCTTGTACTCTGCGCCAGCCTGGAGCTCCAGTCACGCAGCATGGTGGCCGGTTCCGTCCGTATGGTATATGCTATCATTTACTCTCTCTTCCTCGGCTTTGGGATCACCATTGGTACCGCTGTCTATGGGCTTTTGGACTCGAATGCCTCTGCCGAGTACGTCTGTCCCACAGGGCCGGTCCACAATTCATATCTCCGGCGTTTCCCCTCCGTCATCGCCTTCACCTTCTGCCTCGCGGCTGTCAATCAGGCAAAATGGAAACAGATGCCTGTGATGCTCATCATCTCCTTCGCCGGCTACGTGACAAACTTCTTCGCCACGAAACGTTTCTCCTCTAGCATACAAGTTTCCAGCGCGCTCGGCGCCTTTGTTGTTGGTGTCCTCGCAAATCTCTACAGTCGTATTCGCCATGGATTGGCCGCCGCAGCGATGCTACCTGCCATCTTTGTTCTCGTGCCTTCCGGTCTAGCAGCCAGTGGATCTTTAGTTTCTGGAATTGCCACGGCTGGACAAATGACCACGGGCCAAACCCCCTTCTCTCCTCCCAGCAACGGTACTCGGAGCTTCGTTGATGCCGCCATAAACATGACCTCGAGCGGTAACAACCCATTCCAGGGTGTCGTATTCAACATCGGGTACGGTATGGTGCAGGTTGCAATCGGGTTCACGGTTGGGCTGTTCCTTGCTGCCTTGGTTGTTTACCCTCTTGGGAAAAAGCGAAGCGGTCTCTTCAGTTTTTAGACTGTCAACCACGTACCTCCAATATCTCCTGGTAATGCGTCGTCTCCTGCTCCTTTTTATCTCAATCCGTTTGTGTTCACCCTTGTATTTCTTATTTCGAACAAGGTGATCCGCTTACTGTCTCATGCCATTTAGCGAGCGTGCTTTGGATTCCATGCCGTCGTTTACTTGTCTGGTCTCGCCCTTCTTATCAGCTGAATACGCACAACGCACTCGCAATCGCATAACTCGGAGTTCTTACGGGATCAGTACGTTTTACTATCGTCGATATCGTTCTTTAAAATTAAAAATTCTCCTTCGTGGGCTTTCCCTTGAGTTCCGGAGTTGGGTACTTTTCTTATTACCTATGTTCACTTGTTTTCACTTGTTTGCTTTTTGCTCTACCTGCGTTGCATCTGCGCTGCCCTTTGCGGCGATATATTTATACTCATACCCCCCAGCCATCTCTGGTATCTCGTTGTATATGTGTATCTATTATACTCTTATATATGTATCTCCCTCTCTATGTATCGGTATATATATGTACATTACATCGACTTGATTCAGATACAAATCGACACAAAAAAGCAAATCCCGTTTGTTTATTTAATAAAATAGTTCTATTTACCATTTATTTACACTCGATTATTTAGCCTTAATCAAGTACACCCTCTGTAGATAATATATATATGTGCAGGTACAATGTAATTGAAGTGTTATACGTATACATTGATAAAATAAATATATAACCTTCGTTCTTCGATTACCAGTCTACCAAATCTTATATCTAAAAAAGTTGGATTTCAACGAGCCCTAATTTCAAGGTAAGGTCCATTCATCAACCATCTGAAATGCGTGTAGTCGGGATGAGGCACGTGACCAAATCCCGCTCAGCCAATCAAATGAACCGCACCCGCGCACTTGAAAAAGTCTTCAACTGTTCTGCTTCTCCTCAAAATGGCGCAGTGGAGACTATCCAGAATGTAAAAGAGCAAAAAAGAAAGCCCAACGCGGGGCTCGAACCCGCAGCCTTGAGATTAAGAGTCTCACGCTCTACCGATTGAGCTAGCCAGGCTAGTTCATATCTACCGTGCGGGCTTTTTGGCTTCTTCCCGCTGTGTAGGGGCCTGGGGAGGTCTGGCGGGCCACCCACTTATTATTGCCGTGGTTCAAAGACCAGATTGAGGTCCGGTGCGTGGGCTGTGAAGTAATCCCGAAACCCACCGTTAGCATCGAACAATGTAGCAATGTCCTCTTGGGATGTGCCGTCTGGAAACCGAAGTGAGAATCTCGAGAGTAGAGAGTAGAGGACCATACGTATTTCGAGGTAGGCGAGGTTCTTCCCAGCACAGGAATACGGTCCATTTAGGAACGGGTAGAAGGCGCCTTTGTAGGTTATGAGCTCGGGGGACGAGGACCAGCGGGATGGTATGAAGGATGACGGGCTGGCAAAGTAGCGAGGGTCTATAGGTTGCTGATTAACAGGGAGCAGATTCAGAATATCAATGAAGGAAAATATATACCCCGGTGCAATGAATACGTTGGAGTTGAGACGATCGTATCCCCTGGTATGTATCTGCCCGCGATATTTATCCCACCTGGAGGTGTAACGCGCTGTACCCCACCTGGAATGACTGGGTAGAGGCGCAGAGTCTCATTGATGCAGCTGTTCAGGAAATGTGCTCCTAAAAGCATCTTATGAGATGGCCCCTCACCGTCAGATTGCTCGGCCAAAGAATCAAGTTCTTGTTGTAGAAGCCTTTGCTGGTCTGGGTGCTTGGCTAAGAGGTACAGCACGGCCGCTAGGGTGGTGGAAGTTGTGTCACTTCCTGCTATAATAGCCAATTGAGCATCACGAAGAAAGTCGGCTTCCGAGAGCTGAGCGGCTTCCGTTCCTTCGCCGCCGTCGCTGAAGATGTATGTAAAAAGGTCGACTCGAGATTGGTCCATCTAAATTTAATAAATATGCAGCTTGAGAAGAGACCGAATTTGTTGAGACGTACTTCTTTCCTACCCTGGAGGAGGGTGGAAAACCATTCAGAAGAGCCCATTCGATTCCGTGCTCTGCCAATCCTAGGTGGCCTAGGAACAAGTCCCAATAACCAGGGTACACAGCGTCTGATGGCAGGTCTAGATAAAGACTTGATATATAGGTCCAAGATGGGGGCACTTGTGCCATCTTTCAACATATTGAAAGGGTTTCCAAATGTGAGATCACCAATAACGTCAAACCCGAAGTATGTCATCCATAGCGAAACGTTGACAGGGGTTCCGACTCGCTTAGACATCTGTGTAACAAGGTCATAGCAATGCTCACGGACTCGGGGGAAGTAGTGACCAAGAGCTGCTGGAATTAGTGAAGATAGAGAGAAAATTTAAGAGTAAATACGGACCCGTGGTGGTGAACCCCCGATCCCACACCTTCCTCCGCTGAGCGTGCCATACCTTATTACGAGTTGAATGGAGGGACTGTCCTGGATGTGAACCATCATACCAAGGGCCCTTAGTGCAAACGGACCCTGCGCCATGAATGTCACGTATAGCATCAACATTGTTGATAGATATCTCACGAGGGCCTAAATAGAATTTAGCTTGTCATCCAGATTTCCATAACGTCCACGAGGTGGAGAAGAGTTAAAGGAATGCTTACGGATGCGCACAAAATCCCCATATTTCCGATGAGCATCGTCAACCGTAAGATGGAATCTGAAGTCGTGAACCGTCTCCCTAATGGACCATAACGTGCTCAGCTTCGCTAGTGGTGGGCCTGGGAAGCTGCGCAGCGGATGGAAGAATGCACGGTAGATAATTATGCTGCTGAAGAGTCCGAGGAAATAACCTAAATTCAAGGCAAAGAAACGAGAAAGTATGGTCCATGTCCCAAGTTCCAACTGTCTGGAGATGATCGCCAGCACAAGGGCCTCTGTTGCCATGTAGTAGGCTGCTAATGTCGAGCTAGCTCCGTCCCATTCGCCCCGGATGAAGAATGCCAGGTGGCTCGTAGAACCAGCTAGACCTGCAGCACCTGCCCAGTGCACCAGTGACATAGTAGGAGGCTGTAGAGAGCTAAAACAGACTCAAAGTCTTGGTTAAGTTGGATTACACTTGTCCTCCTTTATATGCCATGTGTGCATCTGTGATAATGGTTCAGGGGTAGGCATGTTTCTGGCGGGATATTAATCCCGCTCTTCTAATCCAGCCAAACGGCGGCATTGGAAACATCAAACATGAGAGAGAAAAGAATGATGCATGGAAAGGAGTCCTGAACAGCGGAATTTACTCAACCCCTTAGAGCCTTGGTGGGATCTCTACCGGAATTGGGCGAAATCCGAGGGGTCTGGAGAAGTGAAATTGATCCATCACGATTTCATGACTGGGAGTTTGGCAAACTTTGACAAGGGAAGTTCGCAGTAGTTGAGGTGAAGTTGGAGTGAGCGTGAATTGGAGTTGGGTAACTTGGCAGATGTGAAGTGTCACATCCCACCTTCCAAGTTGATCACGGACTATGCCTATCGAGGAAGCTCAAGCATTACTAACCCCAAAGCGCGAAAGGCTAGGAATTGGCTTCTCTAGCGGTAGACCACTTATTTATGGAGAACAAGCCTGATTATAATTTGTCTTTTAGTATAGAACATGGTAAGAAAACTCCGTGAAGACGGGCGACTTGAAGCGCCTAAGGACGCCTATACACAAAACGCCCAGTGCTATGCTAGAAACCCAAACGCCATGCCATACTGCCACAAGCACCAAATATATATGTATAGCAAAGGAAACCATAGAGAGAGATAATCCAACAATGCAATGTCGGGAACAAGAAAGAGAAAACAGTGACAGGGAATACTGAGTATTATGTCTGCTGGGTACCCATATAGGCACCTTCAAAGTCCAACCCGTCGAGCATGCCGTTGACCCGGTCTATTTCTCGGGTAAGATCCTCAATATTCATGGCAAGACTGCTGACCTCGTCGAACTTCCGTCGCCGGTTCGCATCTGCAATCATTTCGGAAACGAAGAACTTCTGTTCTTCTAGCACGATCAGTCGTTCACGCAGCGCTTTTTCTTCTGCTTCGAGCGCAGAAACAGCGCTGCTGGCTTCACTCGTTATGCTGGCATTGCTAATGCTAGCCGCAGCGTTTCCATTTCTGATGGAACCCAGAGCTGAGCTTTGTCGCCGATGGCCTTCAGTTGATACACTACTGGGGCTTCCGGGAGAAATCGGCTGATTCCCGTTTAGTGTGGCATGCTTTAGGATTTTAGGTAAAGTCTTCAGAGGGAGCATATGAAGATGTAGAAAATTGCTCGCTTGCTGGTGAATTGCTCTCTGAAGGCGCTGCTGGGCTGGAGAGTCGGTTGGTAAGTCGCGGATGCGCCTAGCGGCTGTATCATATTGAGTAAAAGAATCCGTCAAACGTTTACGGACTTTCGCCGCATCCGCTAATTGAGCGGCTGAGGGCGGCCGCCTCGGGTTTCTGTAAAAAAGACTAGTCAATACCATATGGTGCGAGGCATAATTCCAAGAACTTACTGCAACGCTGTGAGGAGATTCTGAAACTTGGGCATGAGAAGTCGAATCCCTCGCTCGAACTGTCTTAGAATCTCATATGCTCTGACATCTGCAGGCTTCCGCGCAAGGTCCGCATCAAAGTCACGTTTGTCAAATAACGTTGACTTGCAGTCCTTGCAGAGCCTGACATCAATATTTACAGAGCCTACTTTGACTGACTTCTCTACATATGCTTTTGATACTAAATACAGTTAGCCAAGAACAAAACTCGGTCGCTTACAGCACATACATGGAGTCACACTTAGCGGCATTTCAACAGAGCATCCCGTTGAAACATCACCACAAACAACTCGCCCGCAAGTTCTGCAGTGATGCCGTCGAAAAGTATAGCTTGAGAAATCCTGCTGACAGAATGGACATCTTGGAACCGTCGCATCGTCCTGCCAGCTAATGACCGTTTGTTCGAGAGCCTTCCGTTCGTCATGTTGGAACGGAATTGGCCAGAGTTTGTTCGACTGCAGCTGCTCCGGAGGGAGACTGGCCAGTAGTTGAGTGAGCCTTGTCAAGCGCTTTTCTAGCCGCGAGACTTCAAGCAGAGATTTGTCGACATTTGGCTTCCTCACGGCCTTGAACTCGTCCATTCGGTCCCTTATCAGGCCTACCACATGTTAGAATCTGCTTTCCTAACCCAAAGTGAGAATAAATAAATACCGTTATGGTCATTATACCCCTCCCGGGACTTATAGCAAGTTTCGCAAACCCTATACCACAGCCCCCGAATGGGTTCATGTTGCGCTGACCTCGAAAGCTTCATTTGATACATCGTATGTTCCTCGCAAAATAACTTCCCGCATTTCCGACAGTTCACACTCCCATTGGTGGCGTTCAGACGTTGTCCACACGATGGCTCTAGGCAAGAATCATAAAATCCGCGAGGCTGCCAATGCTCCTTTGTTATGATATCCTCTGGATCCAGCGGTGGTCTCGGTTGTTGTTGTTCAAGTGTGAGAGTTTGCGGGTGGTTCTGCGAGGGACCAGGCGGCCGACTCGCGCCCGTTAAGGTTTGCTGGTTCTCGTTTGACTCGAATACATCCAGCCCCTTAAGCTTCTGGTTGAGCACAGCCAGCGGCTGGAAGCGCTTGGCTTTCTCCATTTGTGTTTTGAACCAATCCTTAACTTCATCTTGTCGGTCGTCTTCTAGGTTCTGGTGGATATCGTCAAGGTGCCTGCAAATTTGTGTTAATCGCAGCACAAGGGGTAACAGCGGGATAGGCGCTGCGTTGAATACCTGTTTAACTGTAGCAATGTAACCTAGATAAAGTTAGCGACGTGTTCTCATCCACATTTCGCAACGATCTCACAACAAGCACGGGGGCAGAACAGTCAAACATACCATCTCCTCGCTGCAAATCGGGCAGGATAACTGGGCGCCGGCCGCAGCCGGAGCTGCAGGTATGGGCGTGCTTCCATTCTCGAGTGAGATGCGGGAGGTCAGATCTTGAGTTTCGGTTGAGGCCTGGGAGGCGGACGTCTGAGAATTGAGGGAAAGGGTACTCGCGGAGGGGGATAGAATGCTCGGTCTTTGTTGGGGAGACGTTAGAGTCGCTGCTGGAGTTCGAGCGTTCGCGGAGCCCAAGACACGACCTCCACCCAGCGTCCTCCGGGACATGGTGAACTCGGATTATGGGAGCATGGGAAGCGAAGGCCGCGGAAAGCGGAAGGTGGGAGTTGTGACGGACGTAGTCTACAAGTCAAGACGAAGAAAATAGAGGAAGGCCGGGGCCTAAGTGTATCGTGAGAGAGGAAGCCGAGGTGGACTCCAGCTCCAGGTTGGCATGGGAGAGCAAGCACAGCGATCTGCGATTGAGGGGGCGGAGCTTCGGAGGCTGGCGTCTCGGCGCCTGAGGCAGAATATCATTCTTGGAGCCCATCGACGCCCCGCTGCCAGGGCTACAAATAAGCCTTACACCTGCAACTATAGCAATCGGAACAAAAATTAATTCAAGTCTATTAGGATTGATTCCACCATTCGTATATATCTGAAATACACAATAATGATTACATTCTTCAAAAGTCGGTGCGATCCCCACATTGAAAGTTTCTATCATGAGATCTACCCCTACTCCAAAGAAAATCTTGAAAAAGAAGGGGATTCTAAGCGGGCCTTGGTTGTCCATTTGCGGGGGCCTTCTCAAGTGCCTCCTTGTGCTTGCGCTCACCTTCCCGCTGGAGTTGGTCCGGACGGCGTTCAGCAATGTCCTTGGGCCGGAAATCACTGAAGAGCGTCTTGAGAACGTTCTCGATTACCCAACAACCACCGTAGTCGAGTGCCATCAGAACGGTCAAAGTGACCTTGAACTCGTTGCTGAACGGGACAAGGCGAAGCTTTTCGTTCAACTCTGGAACGAACTCAGTTGCGCACGAGAATGCAACACCCGACGCGGCAACCAGTCCCCAGTACATGGCCCTGTTTTCGCGAATAGACTCTCTGAACGGACGGCCCTGGTAGTTGATGGAAAATGTAGAAATCTGCTGGATGAGCTGGAGGAGGTAAATGGCGCTGTTGAGGAGCGATGGCTCGAACTCGCCCTCCAGGTCGATATCAGATTCTCGCCTGCGGATTGTTAGTTGGGTTGGAAATCAACATAGAGTATGGGAAGGAACATACGGCTCAATACTGTATACATAGTTGGAGAGGTAAATCAAAGTCGCAATATGGATGGCGAATTGTCCAAGAACGGAGCCAATGATGTAGATGTTGAAGATGTTGGGCTGGGGGCGTTCCTTAGACAGGCCTTCGACAGACTGTGGGTTTGTTAGAATTATCCATAAGCAGGAGATCGCAATCTTACCTTGGCACGAGAAATTGAAAGGAAGCAAACACTCATAAGCATACCGCTAATGGTCACCTGGCCGTCACCGAACTTGATGCCATCAAGATAGATAACACTCAAACTGTAGGCACTAATCAGACAGTTTAGAGCCAGGATCTTGTACATTTGGATCGTCGCGACGAGAGTGCAACGTCCTTGACGAAGGATATTGAGAATGGCAACGACATTGGCCAATTTACTGGTGAAAGGCGCAGCAACAGAAGCATCTCCTAACTTGATAGTTGGGGGCTCAGTGTCATCGAGCTCCTGTTCCATCATGGACGTAGTAAGCTTGTCCGCAAACCCGGCAGCCGCGACTGAAGCCTGCTGCTGGCGTTGTTGCTGAGGGCTCATATTAGACTGCTGTAACGCTTGCGCACCAGGCGACGTGATGGTGGGGATTTCTTCCGGCTGGTTTGCCGCATTCCTGGCACCTCGTTTCGCGGCCTCTCTTTCCACGGCCTTCTGGTAGTGAGGGTTTCCGGGGCCAGGCGGGTAGATATGGGCAATCTGCGCAGGTACAGGTGGTGCAGGCTGGTTAAAGCGTTGCATCATGCCCACCTGCTTCTCATATATTTCCTTCATCTTGGTGGTACGATAGTGTTCAGCAATTCTAGTCAAGTCGTCTGGAGAGCCGTTCAGAAGCGCAACGCCGACATGGGCTTGCTTCAGCGCACCAACATCGTTGGTACCATCACCGCACATCAAAGTTGTATATCCAGCATCCTTGAGGCCAAGGAGGATATCCTCCTTCTGTTTCGGGGATACGCGAGCATAGACCCAGGCGTGGCGAAGAAGATCAGGAAGAGCTTTTTGATCCTTAAACTTAGCCAGCGCATAACCAGTGATACAAATATCCTTCGTCTTCAAGACCTCTGAGTCCAACGGCTTCGTAGGGTCGACATCGATGTTAACTTTATCATCAATGCTTCGCCACACCACTCTAGTACCTGAGGTGTCATGTTCGGGAGCATCAAGGATTAAAACGTCGCGGTCCACGATCTCAACTTGACGTGCAACATGAACAGCAGTAAGCGGGTTATCTCCAGTGATCATAACGACACGGTGGCTGCTCTCGTTGAGCATGCGCACGGCCTTAATAGCGTCTTCCTTCAATGGGCATTGCAAAACAAGGAAACCAGCAAACGTCAGATCGGACTCAATATCCTCCCTGACATAATTGTTGATCCGTCCCTGTGAGAGTTCGGCTTCGGGAGAGAGATACTTGTAGGCAAGAGCAAGAACACGAGCACCATTACGGGTGAAATGCTTGAAGGTCTCCTCGTAGTTTGGCGGCATGTCAACAAGCATGTTTCCAATGGTCTCTGGGGCACCTTTCACGCCAACGAAAGTGGATTTGATCTTCTTGTTTGTCTTACGGTCGTTAGCGATGACGGTCGCGATCGTGCTCTGTCGCTTCAAAGCAGACGAGAACTGGAAGCGCCTCTTGACCTGAACCGATTCAGCAGAGCGAGGAGCGCCACCCGCCGCTCCACTCTTGCTAGTAAGAACATCATTCTTGCCCAAAGTCCAACCAAGCCAGTTAAGAGTTGCTTTCTCCATTGGGTCACCGACAACATCACCTTCATCTAACTTCACCAAAGCGTGAGCGCTGGCAAGAACAAGGGTGGTATCGGTCGGGATGTTGTGGCTCTTGCTCAAGTCAGTATGAGCCCCATCCTTTTCAACCTTTGCACCACCACGTCCAAGAGTGAGGCCGGCAACACCATCGACGACCAGATCCTCGCCGGTCAGAGTACCGGTCTTGTCAAAGCACGCAACATCAACGCGTCCAGCGAATGGAATGCGGAAAGGCTCAGTGCAGAAAATCGCGAACTTGCTCAGAGCAGCCAAACTGGTATTGACGGCAAGACTGAGCTCCATGGGAAGCTCCGGAGGAACAACACTCGTAACGATAAGAACACAGTCTAGCAACAACTTTGATCTCTTGCGATCCTTGGCAACGCCCTCCTGCCAGACATACCAAGACGCAGCAAGGGCGAAAATCAGGAGGAACAGGATGAAAAGCAAGGCTTCCGCGTTGTTGGCGGAGACCCGTTCCGTAGAGTAAATCATAGTGCGAACAAGGCTGCCCTGGCTGGTCTCGAATCCGGTCTTCACGACAACACCGATAGCTCCATTGTCAGGAGGCGCATTGACCTTGGACGTCTTCTGCTGTGCTTCATCGCCATTGGTGGTGTTGGGGTGGGTAATCTGAAGAACCTTAGTTCCTCCATGTACGAAGGCATTCTTATCCAGGCCATCCGGTTCGATCAAATCATTCCCAGGTCTAAGCTGAACAGACTCCTTAAGGAGTGGTGTACTTTCTCCAGAAAGCATAGCTTCGTTGACAATAACGCTACCCTCAATGAGAAGGATATCGCACGCAACACCACCGTCTTCCTTGGTCCGGTTCACTGACATCAAGTCGCCGGGGAGCAGCTTGTCACTAGTGATTTCCTGCCACTTGCTCTCCCGGTAGACCCAAACGTCGTAGGGCTTAATGTTCATCCCGCGGAACTCATTCAAGGTTCTCTGTCGCTGCCACACAACGGTGCTCTCGAACATAACGAGCATAAAGAGAGTGAACAAGGAGTAGTACCAATATTCATCTAACATCCACAATCCGACGCAGAAGATCTGAAAGACAAAGAAAGGTGCTACCGCATGCTCTTGCCAGAGTTCAATAAAGCCGGGCACAGGGATATCGAAAGTATTATCACCATAATGATGCTGGACTCGTTCAACCTCAGCCTTGGAGGCGAGACCCTTAGCCTCCTGGAACGACTTGAGGGCAGGCTTGGGCTCCGCGTCCAGAACGTAAGATAGGGGGGCGAAGGCTTTACGCTCGGGGTAGTAAATGAATCTTCTTTTCTGGAATAAGAACGAGGTGGTGGTAACTCCTCCCAGTGTATCCCGATCCAAGCGACAGATCTCAGCGGAACCGGAATTGGCCTCTGGAATCACCTTGATAAGCTGGGCAGAATCGGGAGACCTGGCCTTGGTTGCCGTGAACAAGGTACGAATGTTGATATTCCATTTTGTCATCAACCAGAGAAGCGATTGAAGGGTGATGATTGACCCTGACCAAACAAAAGTCCATTCTTGTCCTTGAATGTACGTGTCATAGCGCTCGGGGGAGAGGTAGAAGGCGAAGAAGGCTGGCCAAATGATCAAGAACGGCCAGACATAGGTATGCAGCTGGGTGGGTATAGGGTTGTGCAGCGACGCGTATTTGATCTGGGGATCTTCCACGAGTCTCGCCCTATGATTGAATATTGTTGTTAGTAACATCGACGCGGCACGATAGCTTATGATACTAACATGATGAGATTCGACTGGCCACCAGGCGGGCCAGACGAGGTTTAACTTCAAACGAGAGAGAAAGCGGGATTCAATAGCTCATAGGACACAAGCTTATAGCTATCCAGATCCAAACCCTCCGAGAAACCCGCAATCAGCATGAAAAGAGGGAAGTTGACGAAGAAGCCACCTCTGTGTATAATTTTGCTCAGGGTTGGGTTCGCCGCCGGGCGGAGGGCTGTTGTTGCTGGCGATTGGCCAGCGCCACGTGCCGCCAACGATGGCGGAATTTCGAATTCTCCGCGTTTCTAGCCGCCTCCATGTTGTGTACGCCCCAGCCCAGTTCTCCAGCTTCTCCATATCATCTTAGATCTTTCGACGGGTAATCGACTTTGGTCAGATCTGCATGTCTTAGTCTGTTACAAGATTACCAGGTTTCCGCTGCCTAATAAATATTACGTATATTTGACTATCTATAAGTTTAATCAAGCCTCATCAGTCGTCACAAGGAATGACTTCTGTACATTAACTCCAGAGAATGAGCTCTGCTTTGGGTTGAGATCCTCCTGGCTGCTATTTTGGCTTCCGCGGGATGTCTGAACAGTGGTGGTAACGCCATGGTTAGACTGGTTCGCAAGATCCGGCCGCCAGTACTTATTTCCTGGCTGCTCTTGCCGTGCATTATAGCCCCCGTTCATGCTGGATAAAGGCATACTACCAGCCCTTCCATATGTTCTGCTCTTCGAGCCCTCATAATAAGATCCTCGGAACCAGCGGAAAAGTGGGCGCAGAGTGACGAGGCTGCCGGCGGTGATACCTAGACCAGCTTCGACGTTCGACCAAATGGAGATAGGTGTTGTGGCATCTGAGAGTTCAAGATGTATCAGCATGTGTATTTAGGATTTGGAACCAATGATTTGAAAACTCACACAAAAACTCATCATCCTTATAATGGTGAAGGTATGGAATGCGGACTATAACGGCGGCACTGGCACTGTACGTGGAGAATTAGCCATGTTCTGGACGCGAACTTTTTATAGAGCGCCAGTGACTTACACGCATCCCATACTCAAAATCCCAGCAAGCGCAGCCTTAGTTTTGGAGTTCATGTTTAACTTCCAAACAAGCGCAATAGGAAGAAGACCAAGGATGAAATCGCAGATTGTCGCTATCACACTGTATAGATAGGCAATATCGAGGATGTAGTCCGTATTTATACAGGTGCCAGAGATTGTGAGCCGGTGCCAGAAATGGTCCACGGGGCTGCACTGCAGCGTAAGCATGAACCAAAACACCAGCCCGATAACGATAGAAACAGCTATAACACTCCACAGGATGATTCTGTGTGTCCTTGTTATCGTGAGACGAAGTAGCGCTAAAGCGATGGATACTTTCGCGACCACGCAGGTGATCACATAGCTCGTTTGGCCCAGCCACCACCACTGTCAAAGATGTTAGTAAAATCGCACGTTGGCCAGGTTATATGGCTTCGATTTGATAGAGGGCGGACGTACAAACAGAGCGGTCTCGAGTTCAATCATGGAATGAGGCGGAGTACCGAAATCTCGCATCTTCCGTCCCAAACCATAGCGGGCACCTATCATTCCACACAGAGCAAATAGGATGTTCAATGCCTAGAATTGTATCAGCTCCAATGCCCAACCATCCCGCGCAGCTTGTGACCACGGCTGGAAGCATCACATACCATCGCAAATACCATCAAGGCATCATCCCAACCAAATGCCTTTACCAACCTCAGCCGGACGAAACATCGTAACGCAACGGCGATGAACGAGACTATCAGGAACACGAGTGTCACAACGAAGATGGTCAGACTGCGGTCCTCCAGCGGAAACATCTTGCAACAATTCCCCTGAAGGCGACTATTGAAAATAGGCGCAAGTCGAGATATTACGGCATTTCCTCCTTTTAGGAGTAAAAGCCCAGCGTAGCTCCGGTGGTCTCCCTCAAGGGCAGCGCTCGTTGCGACAGGGATGACAGAAAAGGAGGGGGGTGGTAGGAAAAGAAAAGTATTTGCTTGTTGTGACAGTTTCCAAGCGAAGATCAGCTCGACTAGGTGGCGATGGAATCGGAAGACCAAGGCCTGACCAGAATGCAATGTGCCACTGTCTAGTGGAGATGGGCCGAGTAACTGACGTGCGACTTGTCATTTGAGCCTGTGTCCCTGAGAGGCTTGCAGGGCAACGGCATCGCCAGTGGAATGGCCATTCATTGGACTAGAAGTTTTAGCAAGAATCTTAAAAAGCGGCCTTCCGAGGTGTCGGGGACACACATTTACCTAGTTAGCACATGGGTCCGAGGGCTCGTGGAGGTACCCGACAGAGGAGTTAGACACTACGAGCCCTAGATGCATGCTCCGCACGCGGCGTGGGTTTTGGAAGCTTTGGAATCTCGACGGAAAGTTGGAAACACACCCACATCTGGCGGCCATAGCGTTTACCCCAGCACGGCGAGAGCAGCATCTAGCGAGTCACAGTAAAGAAGCAAAAAAGTGGACCTGGTTTCATTGCCCATCAGGTGCAGACTGTACAATAATAATAATGAGAAGAGCGGCGCGGAGAGTGGTTCATCGGTAATTGGATAGGGCAGATGCACAAATGGGGGTTGGTTGGTGGAGGCAAACATGGATGTAACGTTGCCGACCCAGTCTAATCGAGGTAAACAGCCGACAAGTGAGTGTAAGCGATGAGAAGCGTTGGCATATTATTTGGCATCAGCGGGGGATCCAACGCTGGCGGCCCCCCCTGTTCTGCAGCTGTTTCACCTAGCGGAAATGCACATACTCCGTACATGTTGCATGACAGAACTAAGGTAAGGCCATGCAGAACTCGGCGATTATCTTGACTCCTGGTTTGATGCTTCCTTCATGAGACATCTGGTATCCCCTTCTCAAGCCGAACACGGCTCAGAGGTTCGAGGAAAGCAGATGAGGCTGAGATCCTCTCTATCGCTGAAACGCCGGTGGACGGCCGGATCAGCACAGTTCCAAATTGGCGTTTCTTGATGATCCATCCTACGATTTCAATTTCCACCAGGTTCCGCAACTCTCAAAGCGTCAGAGACGGAATTCAGCATGTTCAAATGTTCGAACCCGTCAGTTGCCAACAGACATCCATGGATGGATATTGACAATGGCTTGCTTCAACCATGGGTATCCTTCACTCGGGTTGACAGGGCAGGACAGACCAATTCGCAACACAGCTACAACTCACTTTCGAAATGTGCAGTTCGCCAAGCTTGGCCAGCTCGCGCCAAAAGCGAGATTTTGCAAGATGGGAATAATTTCCAGGCGAGATCAAACACGCGATCAGAGAAGAATCGAGGCTGAGATCGACAGATAGCGATGGTATTCCAGCCGTCAAGTTCCGCGGGTGGAGAATGAGATCCCAATAGCGAACCGCCGAACGGCATCGGATGTGTGGTCTTCACATTTCGATCAACAATCGAGCCCACCAGATCCGGGCTTCAAGGTTCAAAGGCTCAAAAGGCGAATCGAGCGAAGAAGATCAGGCTCGCGAGTCAGAAACCTGGAGTCAAGCTGTTGCCGCACTACTGGCAAACTATGGGAAGTTGGGAACCGAAGACAGGAAAGTTTACTACGTAGTAAAGTGGTTCGAGGAGTTGACAGGCTGCCTGTCAGTGTCAACTTTGTCTGCTCGGTGTTCCTCACTTTGGAAATTTCTGCATGAGGTTCTGGGCCCTCGGGCCTCATGAGAGGCGAAGCGTTAGCGACATTTAAACTTTCAGTCTAGTTAAAGAAAGGGAGGAGATGGAGATTTCGCCGGATATGGGCTCGCATTATTATTATTATTATTATTGCAAGTTTGCCGCCCTGAACGTGCTTCGATCACTTCGTGGGACGCCAGCCGATGCGAGCCTGGCCTTGCTGGACCCGCGACCTGGCAGACAGACTGCGGTAGGTATTCCCTGTTTGGGACTAGATATAGCACCGCTGTTACACGATGATGTCGTAGGAGAGAGGTCGGTTGTTTCACCTTCGCGTCTCGGGCCGGGGAGGTCTTTCAGAAAGTACTGGGACACTGGACCATTCTGCCATCAGCCTCGAAAACACCTCGTATCAATGCTGCCCAAGCGCATATTCAACTTCTTAACTTTTTTCTTAACTAAATAGTCTAATTGAGTTTATTTACACCACCATGCTTTTGCCTAAATAAATATATAAGCCCGCCATCGACTGAGCCATAATAAATCTCCAGAAACTCCCCACTTGTCGTGTGCATTAAATAGATATGTCGGGACATCACTCCAACCTATAGAGTCGAACTGTAAGCCCCCGCCCCCAACAGCTTCCGAAACGATAAGCAGTTCCACAGAAAATGCTGGAAAGCCTCTTAAAAGGCTAGGCTTCTATAAATAACGTTCAAAGGTTGTCCGCCTTTATACAACGACAGCGCCGTGGACAAGAAGGATTAAGCCCTTCCATAGTTATAGACCGTTTCATCAAAGACCAGGGTACTTAATTGCTTGGTCTAGTTTAGTCCGGCTATGTAATCGAGATGTTGCTGGGGCATATATACAATTCTAAGGCAAATGACCTAGACGTGGCACGAGCGCTTCGCATATCAATCCAATCAAACATAAATCACCACTTGGCCTCCTTGCGGTCCTGGAAGGACTTTAGGATAGCCACTCTCTCCTCCAGAGCTGCCACCTCACGTTCCAAAGATGCCTTGACCTTGGCATCATCACTGCCCAGCTTGGCATAGAAGTCCTTCCTGTAGGGGGTTGCACTCATGGCTGCGGAGAAAATGGGCTTAATAATGAAGGAGTGGTGCTTTTTAAGAGTGTTGCCGTATGCATCGCGGAAGGACTCGGACAGCTCTTTCGAGGCATTGTCGATGTTGTGGCGGAGGGACTGGGCGGTGAAGTCGAGACCTCTATAGTAAGAATGTAGGTTAGCTAAAGCTGAAGCTATATCTGATAGACCAAGGTTCTCTTGGTTCCCTTCTTTAGACTTTGGGCGGCACAAACCTGACAAGCCAGACCAAACCTTCTGCTGCAACATGCTTCCCGGTCTTCAACTCGTTGAGCACAAGGGTTTGAAGAGTTCCAGATTCGCCAGGGGCAGCCAGCTGCCTCTCTCTAACTTTCTGCATGCACAATGCACATCAGCGCGAGTGACAGTTAAATGCGGGGGATATGCGGACCTTGATGTTGCCAGTCAGGTCGTTCTTGACAGGGGAGAACGCGGCGGAACCGAGGAGGTCTAATCCGGGAAACAATTAGTATCAGCCACCTCCAGTCAACTCCAATAGGCGTGTAACATACCAAACAGCGTAGTGAGAGACTCGGCAGCTTCGAGGAACTCGGTGGTAGCAATCCCATTGTCGTTGGCATTGTCAACCGGGACATCTGCGAAGGACTTCTTGATGGTATCAAACCAAGTACCACCAGCGGGGATTTCAGCGGCCATAGTGAATCGTCTGTAAAACTGCAGCACTGGGAAAGAATCGAATGGGTTGTAGGGAGTGAAAGAAAGGGGATTTGGGGGAGCTCTCAGGTTTCATCAACAGCTTCACCGCCACTAGCAGGCCACGCAACCATTGAAGCCAATAGGCGGGGCGAGGTCCCTCGTCACAAACGTTACAAATGTTACAAACAGTGCAAACAACGCCGATCACGGGCAGGCAACGACGTCATTTCTCCAGGCGGAGTTTATGCTCTGCGTTTTCTGGAGTTGAAGCAGTAAGGGGCGTGGCGTGGGTTGGTCATTTTGATTGTCGATTTTCTCCATCTGATCTGATCACCTTCCTAAGACGCAGCCTTACTCCGCTCCTTTTTGCAACTACACACTTTTTTGGCGCCCTTGTGAATGTCTGGTGCTGGCACCCAGAATGCTGGCGACGCGATGGAGTCTAACTCGCGCCCGCCTGAGGATGGCCTTCCGGGCCTTGAACAAGGGTCCTATACTTCTGAGAAGCTAGTGAGGGACCCTCTATATTTGAGTGTCCTGCAACATTGCTAACAGCCAACAAGCGTCACGCTTCCCCGGGCCACCTCCACATAACCAACAAGCGACTCTTCATCGGACCCATACCCAAAAACTGGCTACAGAGTCATCGCAAGTCCTGGTACAAAACACGATTTAGTTTCAGAAACTACAGGTCGAAGGCCATTACCTTCTCTGCAGAGTCGGACTACGCCCAAGAGACGGAAGCACCACAACCTGGCCCTCCACCGATCGAACCAGAAGAGTATGGACCGGATACCGAGCAAGAATATGACAGCGGCCAGGAAGCTTCGCGGCCCCAACAGGATCTCAGGACCCTGACCCACGAGTACGAGGAAGATGATGAGCCACCGTCTCCGCTGCTCATGCGCGATGGCGAAACGCCAGGTACTACCAAAGGTGACTCAAGGTCGGCATATTTTACAGCGCGAGAACCGACTCCAAGTCTTTCTAGCATAACCCAAATTCCATCAATTAAACCCGGAGAACAACCGGACTCGAGATTACTACGAGTGTCACAAAGCGAGCAGGGCCGAAGTGTCCCTAGTCACCTTAATGTTAATCAGGTATCCCCGTCAGCAACCCCCAGTGAGGCTGGCTCGACGGTACCATTGCTAAGCAAAGACAAGGGGAAGCAACGCAGCGTTCAACCTCCTGTCCTTCAACAACAAGAGCCCGAACGTGTGGTTTCCAGAGAAGGAGAGCATGGTCCGCGGCATAGGCGACAGGACACACGTCTTTCACACATTGCCAACCGACTCACTCTCAATGACAATCTACATAACAAGCAACAGCGGATTACGTCCAAGATATCGGGGACAAGGCACAGGGCTCAGCAAAAAGCTCAGCAGAAAGTCCCAGTCTGGCTTTCTCGGCGCAAGATTGAAGAAGGGGAAGTCATCAAAGCTGAAAGGATGCTAGTTCGCGTCGAGGAGACGTTGCATGATGATTTACCGGACGATTACAACGAGTTCGACAGCCTACGGATGGAAACACGCGTGCAAGATAACTGGAGGGAGTTTCTAGTGGTTTGCCGTGCAACATCGGACAAAGAAGCTCCATTTACCTTGCAGTTGTACAAGACGCGCGTGGTGCCCAAGATACAGGAAAGCGGAAAGGCCTCACCTTATCATGAAATTGCCCTCGGCCGAAGGTCTGCGAAAATGAACCTCTACTCGTCCCTGGATAAGACAATCGCGGTGTGGCAGAAATCTAAGCGGGGAACGAACATTTACATATTGCGACCCAAGTCCACTGCCCACGCTGTTGAGTGGTACACTTTCATTGCATACACTTTGGGGAGAGGCCGTACCCTTGAGCTCGGGGTCAATGTTCCGGACCTTGCGGTCTCCCTTATATTCAACAATCCATTCCGAGAGATTGAAGCTAGCAAAAGACGTGACAGCATATCGAAACTCGCGGACGAATCTGCATACTTGCGGATTATACAAGGGTGTATGAAAATGCTAGAAAATCGTCCAGAGTGGGCTGCAGTCATGAATGAATGGACGAATATGGAGGCCATGGGCCTTGCCTGGAAACGATATGATCGCCTCGAATGGGTATATGGCGCTAACGAGGAGGAAATGTACGGATCTATCGCAATGCAGGGGACACATGACCTAGAGCTACGCCCAAAGCAACACTACGATACCTTTGTTAGACATGGGTCAAGGAAGGAAGAAGAACCAGCGCCTGTTGAAGGTTTCTTGATTCGACTCACCTCTCAAACAGGCGCACATCAACGGATGAACAGGATGTTCTCCAAACGTCTCTACTTCTTTTCCCAAGATCAATATCTCTTCTTCTGCAAGCCTTCGCAAGTCCTACCGCCTGCACCTCCTAGATTATGCGCGCCAGATTCCGGTATCCCTTCGACTGAGGAAATATTAGACAGAACGCCCCTTTCCTATGAGGTTGACCCGTTTCCGTTTCAAGATGGAGAAATATCATGGCTATCTAATGGAAATGCGGAACACCTGAAACGGCGCGATGAGGAAGCATATGCACAGTCGCAGCGAAACGTCCACAACCTTACTAGTGCGGAGGGATTCATTAATCTATGCCTAGTGCAGCAGGTTCGCCAAATTCAGGAGGACTCGTCCACTACGTCAAATGCCAATACCCAGAGAAACCGGGCGACAGGAGCCACTGAGACGAACAATATGCCGCAGGGCGGAAGTGCAACTGATCAGCCTCTCGAAGATGCCGGCTTTGAAATGCTTCTGGACAACGGCCTTGTCGTCAGGTTTCAGGCCTACAACAGTGCCACCAGGGATGCGTGGTTGAATAGATTGGAAGAACTAGTAAAGTACTGGAAAGCCCGAACGGCGGCTGACTCTGCCGAGCTCAAAGATTTACGACAGAGGAACCTAGAAATTCTCGGTATCGACGAGGGACTGGAGTCTGTTATAGGGCAGTACGCAAGGAAGTGGGAAGTAAAAAAGGCTGAGGCATCGCCCCTCCTCCACAACATGTGTTCCCTACTTGGCTGTCGCACAATCAAGGTATGCCTCCGGACACTTTTGCTTCAAATGCACCAGGTTTAACCTCAAACTTTAGATGTCGGGTCAACTTCACAAGAAACCTCGCCGTCACGCATCCTTCAAACGCTTTAACGTTATTCTCGCAGCTGGCAAACTCCTCGTCTATCACAGTTCCCTCCGAAAGCAGAACGGTGCTGAAATACCTCACATCCACTCCCATATCGAGTCTACCATTGATCTCGAAAACTGCTACATCTACTCAGGTATTCTAACAGAAAACGACCTGCTCTACTCAAACCAGACGTTCGATAGCAATCACCCCGGTCACGGCGCGTTGCCACGGGCATATCTCTCGTCGGATATGTACACGAGTACTGACGAGGACACAGCTATCACATTTGTGATCTGGCAGCCTCTCCGGAAAGGACTGTTTCGTGCGAGTGAGTCCAGTGAGAAAGGAAGGACGCGACAAACATTAAAGTCTGTTTCGAAGCTGGGTGTGCATGGACGGACGATTGTGTTCAAGGCGCGGAGTAGGGTAGAAAAAGATAGGTGGGTTCTGAGTATTGCTTCAGAGATTGATCGGTTGCAGGAGGGGCAGGCGGAGGATGTCAGGTTGACTTCGTCTTAAACCTGTCTCCTATTCTCTCTCATTTAGTAAATAGACATGTAATATATACCCATACTTCCGGCCAGCACACGATAGACTATAATATAATATACATATATATGTACAGTGCTGCCTTTTCTATAAGTACAAAGATGGTTATAGCATCTACACTCGTCCTCTAACAAACGTCGCTCAGTAGATAGGTAGTAGTTCAACTCAAAAACGGTCTTTCCAGCTGAACAGCCCCCTTAATAACTCTCTCCCTAGTCTCTTTCCGATAATCACTCCCAAACCTCCCCTCTTCATCCCCTTCCACAACTCCCTTCTCCCAACCCGACCAATCCAACCACCTAAACCGTGGCGACAAAACCGCCATCACGCGGCCAGAGATCAGCGAAACACTCACCGGCCCATATGTATTACTATCAAGCGATCTCCTCGGATCCACCGCATCCCCTTCCATCCAAACATGGTTAAAGGGCACAATCTGCGAATCCTTCGGGCACGGTTCACGCGTTTTGATCCGGTCCCCGGGGAGCCCAATAATGCGTTTTATGGCGAGGTTGTGGGGGTTTCCGGGTGAGCTACACAGTGGTTAGCATTGCGCGATGCGATTTGCAGAAGGGAGGGGTATGTATATATCTGTCCATGTTTTAAACAACGTACCGAAACAAAACAACCATCCCCCGCTCTAACCTCCGTTTGCGCTCTTCCCGCCATGGCAGACTGAATCCCGCGCCGCCAAACGGCCACATGTTAACGAGGACGATGTCCTTCTTCGTGTGCATGGTATCGTAGTCTTCGTTTAGGTATGGTGTCATTGAAGGCCCGTTTACCCATAGGACCTGCATGACATGCTCGGAGAAGAATAGGCCGATAGGGAGTATGGGCGCTAGAACTTTGAGAGAGCGGAGCGTTTGGCGAGCGGGACGGGGCAGAGCGGCATAGCGGGCGCGGAGGAAAGAGGAGAAGCAGAACCGGGGAGTTGAGGGAGAGGAGCGCTGGGAGGTTTTAGAGGCTGAGGGTGTTGCTGGTTTCTGTGATGCGGACGGGTACTGTGATTCTGAGAAGGGTGCAGGTTCCGGTGCTGGTGATGAGGACCGAAGCACTTTAGCGTCTTCTTGGGATAGTACCCGGAGTTTACGAGGTTTCTCTGGCATGTTTTATTATGCCCCTAACTCTTGAGGCTTTTCCCGACGTCGGTCAAAAATGAGGTCTGGGTATCAGGCAGCGGAAGTGGAGGATCCAGGGTATGACGGATTGCAATCGAACGTCATAGCACAGTCGTGAGATCAATTGAATAAGTTCAGTAAGGAGCAAATTATTACACAAAGAGGAGCATCGAGACCCATGACAAAAAGTTGGACTTATCAGATTGTCAGGCGACGTTCCGAATGATCTGATATAGCTTGTTTGTACTGTTTGCACCCTTTCCCTCCTTGGTAATAGTATATCACAAGCCTCGGCATTTACTGCAGGTTAAATAATTAAAGTTCAGATATATATTTCACAATAAAGATTTGCAGTTGATTTGCAGCGCTTGATACAAATACCTAACCCAAAACATCAAGAAGCAACGCCAACGCCATACGAGATTGACTATCGACTCGCGACGTCAAAATCAACAAATAGTAAGTATTATTAGTCTTTCCCCCAGTGACTATCCGTCGATTGAGAGTGGACCATATCGTCCATAATCCCGCTTGACTGTACACTCTGAACATCGATGTCTGAGGAAGGTTGATCAATTTCGACGGGCTCGTCGTCTAGCGTGTTCGTACGACCAGCATCGGGTTTATGGACTTCTTCCCACTCATCTTCACTCTTCTCTTCGGAAAATGCAGGGATATGTGCGGTCTGGGTCCCTGCATCAGATGAACTGAGTTTCTGTTTCTTGCTTTCTGGTTGACCTGCTAAAGTGGGCTCTCGCGTCGGCGGGTCAGGAAGCGACGCAGCCAGGACCTCAGGAGGTGGAGATGCACTTTGATCGTCTCCGTCTCCTGTACTCTGGGGCTGTTCTGCAGGAGGGAAAAGAAGCCTAAGCCAGTCAGCATGTTATAAAACGAAAGTGGGATACGGGGCACTCACGGAATAAACTCCTCATAAGCCCTCTCATCTTTGAACTCAAAATTACAGAAAATGACCCGTTCTAGGCTCCCGATATTGCTCTCCTGTTCCAAAAACTGGCGTGTCTCGTCAAGGGCAGTCCTAGCTGCCTCCCGGGGCGGATACCCGTACACACCCGTACTAATTGCCGCGAAAGCAATGCTCTTCATGTTGTTCTCGATAGCTAACTCAAGGCTGCGACGGTAGCAACCCCGCAACAAAGCCTCCGGTCCACCCTCACTGACGCGCCTTTCATAATGGTATATAGGGCCCACAGCGTGAATCACCCGTTTATAGGGAAGATTGTATGCATCTGTTATTTTGGCATCGCCAGTATCACAGCCATTGAGTGTCCGGCACTCTTCCAGTAAGCCGCGGCCAGCAGCTCGATGGATTGCGCCATCAACGCCGCCGCCGCCGAGAAGCCGTTCATTAGCTGCATTGACGATGCAGTCAATGCCCTCGAGCTTCGTTATGTCATTTCGGATTAGTGATATTATATCATTGAGTGGTTTTGAGGGCGTCTTGAGCGGCTGTGGATGAGGACCCAGGCGCTTGAGCTTGTATAGTAACGATACAGTTGGGATTTCAGCAATAGGTATGTATGGCGGTGCCATAGCGTCGGTCTTGTGCTATACGGAAAACGAACTCCAGTGTTAAGACAGAGGCGGATGGGATTAGTGGATAAAAAATATATATTTACCACACTTTATACTTGGGAAGTTCACTCCATTGAAGCTTTCAGCGGATATTGATGGCTCCTTCCAAAGTCCAAAGATTCTTGGACTTGTTCACTGTCACCTACCAAGAAGTGGGGGAGCTCCAAAGTCATGTGATACCACCTGACGATAAGCTTATCAGTGTCTGGAGATGGAAAGAGCTTCACTCCAGAGTTACAGAGTACAGCAGGCGTGACCATTGCAAGTCTATTCTACACCATGGGCAAGGAACCGACGATAGCACCTACCCAGCTGGTTGAAACAAGACCATATGAAATACGATTAAAATTGCGGTCTGTTTGAACAAGTTTCGCGCCGCATTAGGGAAGACGCTGAACGCGAAATGTACTCTGAACAGTACTTTAATGGCTTTAATGCAGTAAATGTCAAAAAATCGGTGAGCGAGGATGCATAGATCGGATGAGCTCACCGAGATCTTTGACCCAAGATCCTTGTCTGGAGATGCATTGATCTGACAATAATAGATAGATCATATGCGCGTAATAACACTCAGCCTCAAGTCCAATGTTGTTTGCCTTGTCTGGCTCTCTTGATTCAACACTCCAGACCAGACAAGAGCCTCAGCGTCATCGTAGGACAGATCATATTGTTCAAGATCCTGATACAGAAGATTCAAATGCGATAAACAATAGCGCCGTCAGCGCCCGAGAGGGTCTGCATTGATGCGCTTGGGCCTTGGATATGCGAATTGTCCGTGCTTGAGACCCATCTGGAGACTGGGTGTATGAGATGCAGTCCCTCCCCTCCTCCGGAGAACGCCGGACGACGGGGTAGATCGAGGATGGGTGTGAGGACCGTAACATCGCGATCGCACGATCACATCCGTATGTTTGGGACGGTATCCGGAGATTTCTGGTAAATACCATACCGCTGCCTCCTCGTTGCCTTGTACAGCCACCGGGAAAAAGCAAAAAAAAAAGGTTAGAGCAAAGATACAAGCAGTACTTGCAAGTTACAAATATTGATGGCTACAGCTAACTATCAATTGTGGTTATTGTTGACAAAGCCCTGGACCACGGTGGGTTCTGGCATACTAATAGGGACCTGTAGTGATCTTTTCTCACAATGCCACTTCTCATAAATTATGGGTTCATCCACGATTTCTTCCAGCAAGACTCGAAAGGAACAACGAAGAGAAAAAAACAAGTTACAAAACCAGCCGAACCAATCCCATTTTGGTCTAAACTAGTAAACATCTTGTCCCACAGCAGTGGATCGGTATGGCATTCTAATGCACGCGCTATACATGGATGATCCAAGATGCCAGATCGTTATTCCAAATACCTCTAGCCCAATCCTCGGAATATTCCTAGCCTGCACTCCCATCTTGGATTTACCGAGGACCCGAGAAGCTTTTGACGGAGCCAACCTCCTTATTTCTCGAGAAGAACTGGGGCACTTGCGCAACGATCTGCAACCTTCCTCAAGTCTGCCAGAGACTTGAGATGGACAGTGCGATGATTCTCGAATTTGCCCCAGAACCAGACTCCACGCCGTGGTCCAAAATAGTATCACAATATGATTGTCCCGTTTCCAACACAGCCGCTTCGGTATGGTCCACAGCCCAACCCCAGCCTGACGAACAATGAATCGAACGGGTTTCTGCGTACGCTGTCGAAGCGGTTTCACTCAGAATGCTCCCATGTGCGGTCGCTGAAAACCGCTAGCGAATTAGGTCTGTCCATCTTTCTCCATGTGCAGGCATTCTTCCAGATCCCAGATTTGCAGAGTGGGGTCGCGATGAGATGAGAATCGTCAGATCCCCGGCGTCTCAACGGTACAACACGAGGCAGCGGTTCCTCCGTTTAGATTCTCCAGCCCTAGCACTGAATTAGCTATGCGGATGGTCGCGCCAGAGAGAGGAGGATGGGGATCGGGTCAATGATCATCGAATTCGCCGGCGCCCAAGCCAACTCCAACCCCAAAGCCGCGTCGCGGCCGAAATCGATCTACAATCTTGTGAAGAAGGATATTTCAAATCTCGGGTCTGGAGAGTTGTGACTCTGCTGTGCCTAGTTGTCGGTACGTACATCGCACATACTACGTGGCGGGCAACGGATTGTTACGTCGTAGCTTGTATTACCGCTACGTATATTGTTAGGCTCGAAAGGGAGTTCATCATCATGGCTGCATAGAGACGGGAACGAAATCAGAATCAGAAACAGTGACGGCGTTGAAGCTTGAGATGATCTCCACCCGACTTCTGGAATAATGTCTTGATTTGATAGAATCGCTGTCGGAGAGAGGGTTTCAATATGCCGGTATAACTCAGGACCGTGGCCACACAGTCACAAAGAGCTCCTGGTTTGTTCATCCAAATACACTGCCGGTGCTAATCCACTCTGATGTATTATTGATATGCCCAGTGGGTTACGAGTGCCGAGTGTCGATACAACAAGAAAGGCGTATAGACCGAACCAATATAGCAATAGATCAGATAGTCGGTGAAAAAACGAGTCTCAACCAAACTTGGGAGGTGCAAACCCCGGTTCGAATTCTGCAGCAAAGCCAGAGCAGAACCGGGGTTCGCATTCTCCAACATCAAACCCTATAATTCACGCGACCACCAGTCACTGCGAGTCAAAAGTCAAACTCCAAGCTAAACACTCTAAAAAACGGCATGTAGTATTTGAAATTGTACCCACTTCGCACCTTGTTTCTGAGCCGGCTCATCCGCGCAGTGCGAGTCTTAGTTCGGTCCCCGATCCACTGCATCTCCGCGACAAAGTGATTTTCACAAGTCATCGGTCAGAACCTCACAACTTCTCGAGATATCCACATTATTATCATCCAGTCAGGGCGTGCTAAGGTAGTACTCCGGACACTACTGCCCGGTGCCAACTGGCAATTCCTGGAAATTTCCCAACTTGGAACGCGCCGCACTTGCATATGCATGTAAAGAAAAGCTCAGTCGTACGACTTTCCTTAGTAGGGCATCTTTGCATCGCATGGATGGAGCACGAAAATCGGACAAACAACCCCGGAATCAGGCGAGTGTGAACTGAGAGTCAGCCTTTGATTTTTCGGTTTCAATTCGTAGATACGGGGGGCACTGGCCCACCCCTCATGTTCGTACCTCAGAATCAGGGGGCCTGACGTCTGTTGGCCCAACAGGATTCTTGTTTCGGCCGATGAACTCGGACCACGAGAACACGACTCAAGGCTCGCAAATCACGATTCGTCAGCCTGTGACATCGGAACGAATCCCAGCAATCAATGTTCAAAGGGGCCCACCCACTGGCAGCCCACAGAAGTAAACTGGGTCCCGACGCGGCTTGGAAAATGATGTGAAATTGGGAAAACCCAATCAACTGCCAAATAGACCTGGACTAGTTTAGGTTGCCATCGGGGATCCATGTCCTCCCGCTTCAGACTAATAGGAATAAGATATGGTTTGGTGGGGATGGGGTGGTGGATCGGCGGTGCAGAAGGGATTGAACGATACGGATTCGAGTGGACGAACTTGGCTTGGGTTTGAAGATGGAGGATCGGTTTTGCGTCCTTGTGCTGACAATTCCTGGTTCATGGTTTCAGGTTCAGGTTCAGGTGCAGCCTTGGGGGTTCGTATTATTTTGATGATTTGAATTATCAATTGAGGCTTGGTGTGCCCACTACTCCGTAGATTTACTCCGTACGTATCTCGTATACTCCTTTTACGGAGTTTCTTTTATCTGACAGCTGACATTGACAACCCTGAAATACCTCAGTATTGTTGGCTTGCAACCAAAGTGTTGCCCATAATAACACAGCCGATCATCCGACGCGGGTAAGCCAGCCTGACAGACCAGAAAGGAACCGCTCCTTATGATGGAGATAGGAGGAATGGAACAGCCAGGGCGTGTTCCACCGCATCAGATTTATGCAGTTGATACGGAAACCGTATCTGAAGCGAATTATATAGACCCTGAGAGTGAGACCCTTAGTGGAGTGGGATATGAAACCTGTTTGACTGTTGGAAGTGCGAGATTTGAAGGAACCGAGCACCTCCATGTTTGCTCCTTCGTAGTGTTTGGTCTATGATTGTAAGAATACAGAAGCAGGCGCAGTCAGAGTGGACTTCCAAACAAAGTTTTGATCGAACATACGCAGAATCATCTTGCTTGAAGTGGCGATGAGCGACCCACCGTGCCCAGTCTTCTGAGCCTGCGAGCACCAGAACGCGCTCCATTCAGCAGCCTTATAATAACAAGGGTAATCCCTGCACATTTTATATGATGCCCACAATAACTGCACCAATGCCTGTTTTCCTTCTGCACAAGGAGGCAACTGGACGAGCATGTAATCCTGCAGAGAAAATTTCTGGCCAGGGTATAGGTATCATACAAAAACAGCCGAATTTGTAAAACCCGCGGTATGAAAATTGAAAACCCGACGTGACCTCTGTGAAATCCGATCGGGATCTGAAATCGAAATCGAATCGAAATCTGAAATCGCAAGTGGCCCGGCTCTGCTACTATTACTTAACCAGTTAGTTCGGATCTCGCATCCGGCTGAGTCAGCGTCTGCCACGAACCCATCCGAGGCTGTCGTCGTCTTGTATACACCGTACAGAGCACGGCGGTATTATTGAGATTGCCTCAATTATTGATCGAGGTATCAGACCAACCTCACAGCATGGCGGGCTCGTGGCTGAGGCGGCCACGCTCATGGGAAGTATAAATTGGATTCTCCATAGCCTGATCACTTGGGACGAAGGGAAAGAGAGTTTTTATTGGGTCGTAAATCACCCGGTAACCGTGTTGCACGACCCCCGAAAGACTCCCCCGTATATCGATGGAGGTCAATCGGACGCCTCAAGTCTGCCAAGTAGACTTCACAATATCGTATAGTTTTGGTCCCCGAACCCACATTTTGGGGGAGAGCTCAGCTCTCCAATTACAACTCGGTGAACCATCTGTTTGAAAGCCTTACTTCACTGCTAGTATCCACCTTCACCGCTGCTGAGCCCGACAGACTGGGTTGGCTGATAGTAGTGATGGGTCGGTCCCCCGTCATTGTATGGTACGTGTCGACTATTCTTTCTACTCCTGTTGAGCGGAGTCGACGCTGGCCAACTCTGCCCCCAATAATAATGGAACCACCGCACCCTCCATTCCGGCTGATGAAATTATGTTTCTTCAACAGTCGCAGCGAAGAACTTCAAACTAAGGATCGTGGTGATGGGGGTGGGGCCAGGGGAGGGGAAAGCACCGATCGCATCGTGATCCATTGTCTGAAGGCGATCGCTGAGTCTGCTAGCGTGGAATTGGAGGGAATGAAATGATGGTCCAAGCAACAACCCTTCAAGCCAAGTCTCCAAGATAGGCGATCAGAATTAGATCTCCGCGGAAACGCGCGAATTTCTTTTCA